ACGGATTTAAATGAAGGGATCTCCTGCATTATGTGTCCACACGCACCTTCAAATTTACTCTCATACTTTTCCCAATATACAGCACTTTGTTTTGAGTTTGTTTCTTTAATTTTATTTGGAGAGGAGGTTTATGCAGGTATTGCTAGGAAATCAACAAACCTAGCTGTATCAGAGCCAGTTTGGTAGAAACACTTAGTTTAGGGAAAACAAATTTTTTTCCACTTACAATTTTTATCGGGCCTTAGAGGTCTGGGTGAAAATTCTTAACTGGCCAAAGAAGGCTTCTGCAAATGTACTTCCACTAAAATTTTGATTTTTCTATTCAAAACAAATGGGTATGTTAGAATCATAGAACAGTTTGGGTGGGAAGGGACCTTTAAAGGTCACCTAGTCCAACCTCCCCTGCAATGAGCAGGGACATCTTCAACTAGATCAGGTTGCTCAGAGCCCTGTCCAGCCTGACCTGGAGTGTTTCCAGGGACGGCGCAGCTACCGCCTCTCTGGGCAACCTGTGCCAGTGTGGCACCACACTCAATGTAAAAAAAATCTTCCTTCTAGCTAGTCTAAATCTACCCTCTTTCAGTTTAAAACCATTACCCCTTGTCCTATCACAACAGGCCCTGCTGAAAAGTTTGTCCCCATCTTTCCTGTAGGCCCCCTTTAGGTACTGAAAGGCCGCTATAAGGTCTGCCCAGAGCCTTCTCTTCTCCAGGCTGAACAACCCCAACTCTCTCGGCCTGTCCTCACAGGAGAGGTGTTCCACCCCTCTGACCATTTTTGTGGCCGGCCTCTGGACTCGCTCCAACAGGTCCATGTCCTTCCTGTGCTGAGGGCTCCAGAGCTGGAGGTAGTGCTCCAGGTGGGGTCTCACCAGCGCAGAGTAGAGGGGCAGGATCTACCACCACATACTTTATTAAGCTTCTGAAATATTTAGGCCAATATTAAAGACTATTATGACTTGTCATTTCAGGCTAGCCACTTCCATCTATAATCACAATGTAGTATCATTTTATATGAGTAAGTGTCCAGGACTGGGTGGGCAGGGGAGGAAGCTCTTCAAAACACTGAAATCATTCCAGGAGAAGCATAGCAATAAAGATATATTCTACCTGCAAGAGCCTTGAAGGCATAAGGTACATAAGGGGTACATGAGGTCTTTGGGGAGCCAAGGAGCAGCGAGTATCACACTCTTCAAAAGGGTACACTGCACTGGCCAGCTTCAGGAGCTGGCTGTGCCCCAAACCTGTGCTCTCTCTTTCCACTACTGCTCCTTCTTCTTGTTTAAGCGTATGTTCAAAGCCAAAACATAGATAATGTCAGTAGAAAATGCCCCTTAGGAGCAGAGAAAATACAGTAGCAGATCCATATAATCAAAAGAACTACAGGTTGCATAATGCACATTTAACCGCTATGTGTACTGTGTACTTCACCATGCATGTTTATTTTATTTTTCTGTTAGTTTCAGAAACAAGAGCAACTAATGGTGTCAGAGCCCAGCCCACTGAATTTCATTCTCACATTCTGCTTTTCATATACAAACAAGAATGAGTTGACCAAGGACAGAGAACGAGCGAAGAGAAGACAAGTTCTTTAACAAAATCTAAGCATTCCTTAAAATGTAGATGTAAACACTGAGGAGAAAAACAGCATTTGTTACGTCTCTACAATGTGACTGTAGCTAATTTTGGAAGAATTATATCTAAAATATATACTGTATTAAATAAAGGAATACAAGGACTTCAATTGTAATTACTCACATTACGTGAAACACTGACAACAGGTCAAGATTTACATTTTTCTTTTGGCAGACTTTAAAAAATGGCATCTCACAATGAAAACGTTGAGCATAAAAACCCTAAAATTTTAGCAATGGCATCTCACAAAGAAAGCATTAAGCATAAAACCCCTGGAACTTTAGCAATCATTTTAAATAAATGATTAATATTAATGATCTATTCATATACAATGACATAAATTAGATATGGAATTTTAAGGGGCAACATTTATCATTCTGTTACCAGAAGCTGTCATATTCTTGACTTAAAGTATCTTGACTTTCTTATCTCCAAGAAAAAAAAAACTGTAGTGAAATTTCATACCACAAAGTGTTGAACTTTTATATCACGTTTTTAAATTCCAACCTTAAATTCAATAAGAAGGAGGGGAAAAAAAAAAAAAACAAACCACATTTTAAATCCTTCTACTCAGCCATGAAAAAGTGTTACATCCCAAAATCAAGTTGACAATCACTGAAAAATCTGAGGAATACAATGTTGTGCTTAGAATATAGTAGGGAAAATAAAAGAAACTTTTTGCAGTTCCTTGCAGTAACATATATGGACACAGGTGTTAGCAGAGTAACTCTGAATTATTCACATATATATAATTCACATATCTATGTCAATAATTCAATAAGGAACCACAGAAAGCAGACATGAGAAAGATGCCTTTTAGCTCGCTCGCTGGAACCTCTCTTTATTAAGATGGTGAGCCGATGTTGGATAACCCAAATCTACTCCAATCTGCGGAGCAGCAGGAGAGGCAGCACAGGGAAGGAGAGGTCCTAACATGCAGAAAACTTCTTCAGTCCCACAGCAGGAGGAGCTACTTCTCGTAAAATTACTTTTCCTAGCAGGTCCAGTACAGTCGACATAGCATATATATGCATTCACATTTTTCACCTGCAGCCTCGGCAGCCTCTCCCAAGTTACCACGCAGCACAAAGCATGTGTTTGGTAACAGCAAAGTTTAAGACATTTCCAGTTGTTACTTGAGTTAGCCTTTATACCCTAAATACAAGAAAAGTCTTTTGCAATAACTAGTTACTCCTTACACACACAGAATTCCCTCCAATTCCCCATTTTAGCATGCAAGGAATGCAGCTGGATCAGCTCTTAAAAGTTCTCCTTCACCAGAGACTTGAAAAGCCTTACAAATGGAACAAATAGAATCTAAAAGGAGATGTATATCTCCCCCTACCTGCACAGTCCTTCATCCTCCTGCCCCAGGGAATGATATTTACAGGCATATAGCTACTTCAGGTCTCAAACATGAAATAAACCCAAATCTTACAACCTGACACAGCCACTGTATGCCAAATCATTCAGACTGGAAGTGTTGGAACCCCTCTACGGTACCTGTTAATTAGCAAGCTGATACATTTAGCCTCAGAGGTTTTAAAGACAATTTGGATATGCCTTTCTGTACTGGTTAAAAAATGAATGATCCAGCTTAACTGCCTATGTCCCAGCAACGGACTATCAGACCAACAATACCCACCAAGACACTATGCCCAAGAAGTCTGTGTAAAGTCTCTAACTTCTCATTCTCTCAAGGAAAGAAGCACGGGGCGATAACCTGTAAGATTTCCTTTTTCGTCAAGATCCCTGCTAGCCCTTGCAGATTTGCCTCATCACATGGAGGGGAAAATGCTAAATACACACAGAAGAAACTGAAGTCTTAACTACCCACCAATTTTTGAAAATCACCTTTTCCTTTTGGAGGAAATGGTATTTTACAAGACACGCTTATTATCACAAATTCATTTGAGCTTTGTCATCATACCTGGCTAACACCTCCCTAAGAAAGTTCAGGTTTGGTTTTGAACGCAATAAAAAGTGCCTATAGAGAAGTGACACCGCCCGGTAGGTTTCCTGAAGCTTAAGGCTGTGTTAAAAGCTTTTGTTTATTCCTCATCTCTAGCAATCACTTCTCCCATAGCTAGGCCAAGTTCACTGTAGCTGCTCTACTTCCAACTGGAATGCAGAGGTTCGTTTCGGCAATCTGAACTGGACGCCTACCTCGCTAAACCCAAGCAAACAAACAAGCACCGTAACTTCTCACACTCCAACTTTGTTTCTGGCTTCCCCTAAGTGTTAGATCCTTCGTACAGCTGGGTTATGCGCTGTACCAAGTGTGTTCAGGGGGGAGGGGACAGGAGAAGGGGGAAGACAGCTCACTGTACGTCAAAGCAAGCCAGCAACCTAGCAACCATATATTAAAAGGTGTGTGTGTTTTTGTGGGTGTCTGTGTGCCAGGAATAACTGAAGCAGATATTATTCCATTTGTAATCCAAAAAATGTGAAAAGGGAAGGGGAGAAACTCCAGCTGCTGGTCTATTTTGGGGTCTGTCAAAATCCACTTTCACAAATACAGAGTCTTAACACTTTCTATCCCATTTGTCTTAAACAAAAACGAGAATCTGGACCTAAGCAAGTTCTTGGCTTTGGTTTGAAAGAGACCCTTCACACCAGGAGCAGACCTTATCTCACGTACTACGCTGTCTTCCAACTGGCAATATGCAAAAATCAAATGGGCAGAGAGGTTGCCTCAAAGATTTCACGCTTAAGATTAAAAGAATATTGATCTAGCGTGTTACTTACGAATGCACTGAATACTTTTTGATATCTACATTTCATTTATCAAACAGAAATGTCAAAGATTCTCAGGGAGTGGAATTACCTTTAAAAAGATTTACGTGAGTGAGAAGTTTACCTTTTTAATTTTGCTTAAGTTTCTCATTCCACAAAAGAACTGAGAGTTTAGATCAGTAAATAAACACTCCTACCCTGCCATCCTATGTGGTCGTGGGGGTGCACATCAACCTCAGAACCACACTGTCCCACCACGCCAGCATGTGCTGGAGAGAGCTGAGAGGGAGAGCTGACACCAGGTATAACTTCTGTGCCACCAGATGGAAGTGTGGGGTGGGACGGAGAGAGGGGGACAGCAGGGCATCCCTCAGGGCTGCACCCAACACCTCATCCCTCCAGCCATGCTCCCCACGTTCCGGCTCCCGACAGCCCATGGCAACCCTATCACAACAGCAGACAGCACACTGCCATCCAACAACAGCCCTACAGCATCTCCTCCAGTGCCACCTCGCGCAGGTGTCCCGGTCTATGAGGCTGGGAAACTACTCCTCCTCCTCACCACCACCACCACCGCACCAAACCATCACCATCACCAGGAGGGGAAAGGGGGGGGTGGAGGGGGGTTACCTTGTTTTTGACCCCGCAGTGGCAGCAGACAGTCCACAGGTACTTGAGGGTCCTCCACAGCAGGATGATAAACAGTCCCCCAAAGAAAGTGACCATGGATGAGGCGAGGAAAGCCCACCACATGCGCTGTCCGCGGCTATCGCAGGGCACCTCCATGGTCACCGGGATGATGAGCGCATCCATCTTGGGCACATTGACGGGGGAGGAGGACGAGTCTGTGTTGAGATTGTTGGCGTTGATATTGTTACTCATTCTAATGCCGCC